ATTTATATATGATTATATATAAGCAATTCTTTTCATTTCTTTAAACTTGATTTTTTTGTAAAAAATACAATGTAAAAATTATCCTTTTTATTATTATTTTTTTTATTGAAGAATAATTTTACAAAGGAAAGAAACATATAGGGATATATATGGACATATTTTGCATATAATTATATATAATAATATATTTTTATAAATGTTTATATATATTTATATATGTTCTTTTTTTCCCGGGTTTCTCTCTCTCTCTCTCTCAATATGTTGCATGATTACCGTTAATAAGAAAAGCAGGTGAAAAGGTGTTTAGATCTTTGAGCACAGATAACGAATGCCACGGATCGATATCGCCGTTCGTAAAAATAACGTTTTTTAAATCCGGCAGTTGTAGTCCTCCGTACATTATATTTGTTCTTCTCACCCGTGATTCCAATATCTTTTTACTATAACTAAAATTAAGTTTCAGCGTTATCATTTCTCAGAAATAAAACTAACTGCGTACTTTATTCGAAATGTAATTTGATACAATAATAATTAAGTCGTGGCATTTAATTTCGTAACCTTTAACATTTGAACGTGTTGTAAAAATATATTATATGCGTATATTATATCAGATATATTTGTACAAATTATGAATATGGAAATAAATGATAAGTAAGAAAGGAAAGAGCCAAAACCGGCGGAGATTAGATGTTGATTGTCCAATATTTTCAATTTCTTTTTAAATTTCAACTAACGTAAACTGCACGCGGCGCCGATTACTGTCAGTTTTTAAAAATGCAATTATAATTTAAAACTGAAATAATATCATATGTATATATTAAATCTTGGATTCGATGATGATGCTACAAGCATCCTAAAACACGATAAAGAACTTACTGTAAAAAATATTAGCCAGGATTCGAATCTTTCCTCTCTGGAGGGCATCATCTATTAAACCACTAGTTAGTTGCCCAATAATTTATTTTTAATTTTTTTTAAATCTTGGCTCTTTTCCCTCTTATCTCTTGTTGTATATGTATACTGGTCTTGTTTGAAATGATTACCACATATCACAGTGACTAATATTTATCGCAATAACCAATATTTGTAAGGAGGAACGCAAGAAGATTAGCGTGTAAATAATAATAATAATTTTAAACAAAACCAGTATATCAATACAACAAGAAATAAGGGAGGAAAGAGCCAAATTCAAAGAGCCAAGATTTAAAAAAAAATTAAAAATATTATTGGTCTAGTCTCGGTCGAATTTGGCTCTTCCTTCCCTTACTTGTTGTATATGTATACATATTACCAGACTTATTTGAAATTAATGAAATAAATGACATTTGAGCAAGAAAAATATCTGCAGATCGGCACTTTTAAAGTATAATTGTACTTACTAATCACCGTACAAATCGATACACAAGTTGATGTAATAATTTATCGGGAACAGTGTTCCAAAGATTGATTTATCTGAGTTCGACGTCTGATAGTAACCATACTCAGTGCACGTCTGATGAAACCATTGCCTCATTCCATCTGTAATAAAAATCTCGTTGCACAATGTATCTCACACGAAAAGTGTGCGATTTAATTTATTTTATTAGCTGTCTCAACTCACTCGTGGCTGCTGGGGAATCCCACGAAACATTTCGGTACTTCTTCAAGAAACCATTGTAACTTACATCGGTGCAATTTTCATCCGTCTGATTCAAAAAGACGTACGCGAGTCTCTTCAAGGGACTGCCTAAATGCGCCGCCATCATTTTATCGCACAACGCAGCGATTTTTGTTTGACCATTTTCGATTTGGTCATATTGAACGACATCGGCGAATACCTAATAAAGTTCGGATAAAAATAAATAGTAAAACAGATGAAGCAACGTCAGCAATTCATGTATGTATGTACATACATACCTCCGCTAGTGAGTCCATCAAGTGACCAAGATCACTAGCAGACTTTACGTCAGGCACGTGGCAAAAGCTAATCTCGGTATTAGTATTAAAAAAATTAGTGCTAATTAAGAATTATTATTATATTTCCAATTCAGGTCCGGCGATTTGTCTCGGCTTTAGGTGTGAAATACTGTGGAAATTTCTGATGAAAAATCCCCCCACTCCACCAGTAGTTGATAAA